ATCAGCAACACCGTCTTGACCGATAAGATGAACATGCATTTTTTATCACTGCCACTGGTGCAGCCCCAATCCAGCGACAACGTTCGGTAGAACTGAAGATGAGTTTCAGTTTTGTTTTGCTTGGTTGTTTGAACCTTGAATCTTGACACCCGCATGTACCTTCGATGTGTTTACAATGGACGTTATCGATTCACTGTGGGGTCGTATTATTCGTCCAATAATGCTTGAGATGCTCATACGCGGTACTAGTAGTGATCAGTGATAACCGTGTGCGAACATCAATGCTAACGGTTATAGCCAATTTGAAAGCCTATGCAAACTCGAAAAAATGTGTTCAGTGATAAAATATTAGCTGCTTATTTCACAACCAATAATCGAAGGGATGAATTTGATCTGCGTTTGGAGCTAGGTACATGATAATTCGTCCTTATTGTGTTCTACGATATAAAATGTTGAGTTATATCGTTCTATCTCAACTAAATCTTTCTGCTACTTACCTCCATTCAAATTTGTGGGTCATTTTGATAAGTCGTATAGTATAGTTTCGTACACACCAGTTCATTAAAATCCGTAAGTGACTTTTATTGACTGCTGTTACACGATGTCGCTTGGTGTAGAACCGTATTACCACCTCACACTTCCTTTTTTCGAATCAGTGATTTGTGCTTGCTTACGGAATTGGTGATTTTAGCAACTCTGAGGTTGATTGTTTTGGAGAAGGGCTCGATGTTTTTCAGCCCCTAATATTACATGTTCTGTTATTAAATGAATTTTCATTTTAGCAGAGGAATTACTCTGTATTCCTCTTTCCAGTGCGCAAAGCCGATGATAACTGTATGAATTTGAATCATTTTTTGTTTGTTTAAACTGAGACTGAACTGAAATAAGGAAAATCTTCACTGAAACCCTGTATATCACGTGGGTTTAGTAGCCCTGACAATGTGTTTACTCCGTCTTTTTAGCTATTCTGTGGTGCGATCGTGTAGCATCTAGAAAAGCCGTGTATACGTTATAATCCGTTAGCTTTTTCTGTTAGCGTGTTGTTCTGCTCACCACAACTGCACTCTTATCATCGAAACTATACTGCCACCTCACTTCTTATTCCGTGTACCCCGTACCGTTCCTTTTCCGGTCTCATCTCATGCAGTCGGCTGCATCTTTCGAACTGGCTACGTTCCTATCCAAGAGTGACCGCATCCTTCGATTAGCCACACTGCGTTGCCTCTATACTATATTGTCCAAACATCCTCAGTCTCTCGGATCCGATTGTTTGAATACCATTCTGACCCTGGTTCCGAAAATGCTCATAACCGAACAGGACTTACAGACTGCCCAGGTAATTTCTGATTTGTGTTGTATTGCATTTCTCTAGACTTTTAAGTGCGACATCTCAGTATATCCGAGTTCAAACAAGTGGTTTGTTAAGGACTCACAATCGGAACCTTCCGCTTGTCAGTTTAGCCTGGAAGATCCCGAGACGGTGTGTGGAACCGAACTTCTTCGGGGCCCAATTCCCAGTCGATCGGAGTTCGCAGCCTCGAGGTGCGATCCACACATCCATGGTGTAGAATACATTCAACCGAGTCGTTGACGTTTGTGACCAGCGTGATCTGAAACCAGCTCCTGCAACTCTCTTTAATGTCAGCTCTCGTAAATGACCTTACTGCTCGTGGCTGATCAGTCCGACCATAACCCTAAGTATTGGCTTTTCATCCTCTCAATTTAATTAGCTCGACCTCATACGACGGCTGTGAGTAGGATTTTCTCTGCGGATGCTTTGAAAGATGCATTCAGGGTGAGAATGAAACTTTTCCCAACTGGGTAGAACTTTTAAGGTCTAGCGAAATCGCAAGTCTCAAATGTTGCCCGGGGTACCAATAGTCGGATTGAATCGGTTGTGCCACTCAGGCATCCCCATTTAATTTAATCGACAAATATAGGGTAAATCTAGTCTAATGTAATTAAGTGATTTTCTGGAGGTAAAAGGTTGATATTCAGCAAAGTCACATACATAACTTGTGGCCTACTTTTGCAAACCTAGACCACCCGTGGATTCACCGTGGCGTCCTGTCATACACCCAAAAAAGACTGTGTTTCCCCAAAATGACCAGTATTACTACACGATTCTGAGACCAAGGCGTTACATAAGTAGTTGCGAAAAAGCCGTCGAGGTCTAAGGTGTGTACTCCGTGTTGACTACAGAGTTTCACTTTCCCCTCTCTCAAAATAGGCCCGCACTGGGGATTCCTATTTGCTTTGAGTATGTTGTGAGTTTGGCCACACTCAGGGAATTCCGCATTGCCGTCTTTCACTGAGCAATAGTGATCAATGCTTAAGAATGGATTTCTCCATTTGTTTCATTGGACAACAGACCAATCATGTTGTAGGTCGGTGTAAGTTATGTATCTCGCTTACCCAATCCGTTACAAACGAGAGAGGACAATTACGGTGAGATGTTAACATTTTTAATCTTCTTATTTGCTATAACGTCAAACAATCTGGTTGTCAGGCTCCGTGGCTTGGCTGGTCCAACGATAGAAAAAAACGACTGGATCTTGTTCGTGGTAGATTGTTTACTTGCTCCACACATGTAGCGTAAACTGAATCCTCGAAAACCTTATTCTCACTGCTCAGGACTGTTTGTTTTGTGAGTTGTCTATAGGAGTCGTCACAAATGGCAGCTTAAACCAGGAAATGTTTCTTTGAAATCACAGTTATTTTTTATCTAAACAGTTAAATGTTTGGTTTGTTAGTCATGCCCTTAATAAAAAATCTCCACTCCACTAACATACTTTTTATTTTATTTTTTTCAATTTAGATGGCAATCCATTTGATTGCTCTTATGCTTGAATGGGACGGTGATGTTGGCGCACACGTCTCTCAAGCTTTAGTGTCGGACACCTTCATGCAACCGCTCATCTCACTGGCTCACTCCCCGTTACTATGTGGCCAGGCGTTAGACGCGATGCTTAGATTAATGCGTGCCATTGGACGTCAGACCAATAGGAGTGAGAAAGATCAAGCCATCACCATGGTTCGTTTGAATCTTTCCGGCGTGTGTCGATGTTCGTAATTTCGCTTTTGTCTACTGATGAGTGTGCTTACTATATTCCTTTGATTCCTAGTCAACGTAATCAATCCTCAACACGGTTACCCGGTTCGAACAAATTTTGCAATAACTGTACTCATTACTCATCAAATCGTATGACATCACACAATTCTCCTTCGTTTGGTATTTTTGTATTTCAACTTTTCAGTAGTAGATGAAATAAGTCTTGAGCGTTGGGCGGTGGTAGCCAAATGGTAAGGTCATCAACTTGTGACCCATAAGTCCCGGGTTTGAATCACTCCACTACAGCCCATCTTCCCAGGCAGCCTTTGTATGGTCGCAGCCCCCCTTCCTAAATATTGACTGTGCATTTGTATATTCAATAAATATAAAAGGAAGTAAAAAGACGGACAGACAGACGTTAATATTACCGCCGCATCCGGTTTCCTTGATTCAGGATCCTATTTCCCACTCAAATTTATAAGACGCGTATTTTAATCCGTGCCTGTTAGAATGGTTTCGTTTCCATACAATCTGTTATTGGTTATTTCTGCAAAATAATGTTGTGCAATTTACCCCCTCTTTCTAGGTAAATGGCATATACTAAACTTACTGCAGCAGATTTTCTGTATGCAACTTTCGATCGGATTACCTTCCGGTTCACTTCTGATTATTACACTGTGTTTATGGTATCTCTTGTCAGAATGAATATGACTTCAATCACTGGCTGCCAGAAATCGATCTTTTTCCCGGATTTTGTACGGTATTCTGTTTACGATACTGGGTGTCACAAATAGTGGCGCTGGTGCATCTACTCATAATACTTGCAACCCCAATCCATATGGATTTTCTATTTTCTCTTTGAGTCTGTTCTCAACAGTCCAATCTTCGTTCTGTTGTTTTAACCAAATGGGCAGCCAAAAATAGCAACCAAAACCGGTGCATAAAAATGCATGGCTGATGGTTGTGAAAGCTGAAACTGACAATACAGTCTGATAATTCTATGTAGTGATTCGATAACGTAGAACATTATCATGTATAAGCAAATCCAGTCGATTTCTCTTCATGTCTTCTGAAACAAGACGCATCTCACTTTTTTCTTGTCATTAATTGATTCGGCTGCTCATCAATAGTCATTGCCACTACCTTTGCTCGACAGAAGATAGTACAGAAAGGCAGACTAAAGGCGATAAGAATGTGCCACTGATAGGAACAATGGTTTTCAGAATTGCTCGGTTGACAGAATTTTCCATGGTTTCTCAGTTTTTCAACGTATCACTCATATCTTAATTTTTCGCATGCGTTTACTCTCTCCTCATCGTTTTTGAGGAAATTAGTCATGAGAAATCTGGAAAGTACCGGCTAGCTGTTTTATCTTTGACTGTTATCATCAGCAGTGCAAACCCACAGAATCAACTGGGCACCGAACGCGGAATCTCACAGACGGAGTGTAAACTTACTGTGCGTTTGACTACCGGATAACTGATCACTTTCTCCATACGCGATTTACCACAACCCATTCTAGGAAGCTTTCTAGGAAGAAAGAACCTCGCTTAGATATGAACTAAATCCAAGATTTATGAATCGATCGGAAACGTTTCACTTTACCATGACTAAATAATACTCGATAATCATTCCTTCTAACTTATCGTTCCTTATTGGTATGATTTTTTTTGATTTACCAGTTATTTGTTTCCCAGTTGTTGGCTCCTCTAAACGGATCGGGTTTGATTGCCTGCGGTCCTAACACTGGGCCCTCCACATCCAACTCATTGCACCGAGATGCTCTACCGAGTTTGGCCCAGTGCGTCACTGAATTGCTGGCCGATCTACCAGTCAACACACCTCCAGGTCAAGTTCTGTCACCAACAAAAGTGCCTAGTTTAACTGTGGCGGTGGACCGTCTTTTAGCCGCAGTTAAGGTAAGCAAAGTTCAACTAACTGAATAAAAACTACTTCCGTTTGATCTTTGTAGAATCTCACTTTCATAGAACGCAGTTTAGCAAACAAGACTTGTTTTATTCGAGCTATATAAATTGTGACGTATTGGTCAAAGAAGACTAATCACTGAAAACAAGTATTGTTTGCCGCATTGTGTTCTAATAAACGTGTTTGTAGGTAATCTAAAAAGATAATCTCACTTCAACCAGATTTCAACTCAGTCAGATTAATATGATCAGATGTCGAACTATTTTGTTCTGTTATTTGGTTGTTTAGCCGTGTAAGCAGAACAGCTGATTTTCTCAGTGGTTATATTTGTTCACAAAACATTCCTCTTACATCGCAAAAAACTTGTTAACTTGTTGCACACACCCACTCAAGCAGACGAGCAGGTTGTGATTGAATTGACCGGTTTTAGGGGAACCACTGTTGGTAATGAATTCGGCCAACGCTTTTTTCTTCTGTTCCCAGAAGAATACAACTAAGCAAACTGTCTAAATCGTTGCTAAACTCATCGTATGTTGCCTGTTTTCTTTTACGTAACCTTATGAATTGGCCCCATTTATTATAGATAGACATTCTCGGCAGTAAGAGTACAAGCGTGCCTCCAGCACCATTCGGTTGTTTTTCTCTAGATTGCCTCTCGGTATCTGGTTCATCGGATATATATATATATATATATATATATACCACGGTGCTGTATGTCCCAACTGGACGCCAATCAATTTGAAACAGTGTGCTTGCAAACGCAAATATGCACTTCGCAATGATACACTAGTGAGCTGTTATGGCTTTCCTAGAAAGTTGTATAAACCTCTGGGAAATAGTTCTGTTTACATGTAACGTCTTTTGCTATGTTTCTCATTAGATATTAGTTTTGTTCTATTTTTTGCTCTTTCCCTTCGCCCAGAGTCCCGCATCATCAGCTGCCGAAGTTTATCTCAATCTTCTCATCCTGGGTGAACTGGGTGGTAAACTGTGAGTTTTTTCAGCCTCGCACACCGTGGAAATCAATAGTATTCGTTTTCGCATGATACAGTATCGCTTATTGTTATCGCGTTTACAGTATAAAAAAATTTGTTACTCTCAATTGATTGTAAGAATCCAATCATCAGGATAAAGACTTATTCGAGTATGGATAGTGCAACGAAACCACGAATGTTTTGATAGGCTTTGGCATTTTACCTCCATGAATGGTAACTGTCAAAGTTTTCTGTTCATCACTTCTTACTCTTCCACTATTAATCCCTCCTTTCCGGTTTGGACGCACGTGTTCATGCCATTGAATTCATTTTTAGTGACCTGAGCAACCGAGCGGATTTGCGTGAGATGCTGATCTCCTGTCTGTCTACTTCAGTCACTCAGTCAAATCTGTCCGATACTGCTGTGAACTCGCCGAACAGCTCAGTGGTCATCTCAGAGGAAGTTAAACCTGCTGCCGCTCTCAGCTTAGGTCGTTTGGTAGCTGGGCAGCCGGACACTTTGCTTCCTTTTCTGGTCGATCGCATCACCGAGGCTGCCAGTGCTGCTACAGCCGCCGTGGCTGTATCCGCCTCAGACACCGGCAGTCAACATCAACTTTATCATTTACTTCAAGCTTTACGAAAGGTGAATAACTTTTTTGTGTATATCGGTTTGGGGTATTGTTGGTTTTACAAGCATCGGTTAAGTGAAAGCAAATTGTACCGACCAAGAGCGTTCGTTTTTGAATACCAGTTGTTCACATTTCTTAGTCTTGATCCGGCGGCTGATGTAATGACTATAAGAAAGTACAAAACTCGAGTAAACTAGATGTAAGAAGAGAGTTAACAAATACAGGAGTGCGACTAAGTGCAGCACCCTGGCTCTTCGTACACTGTTTTTAGGCACCGATTTCTCTGAGGCCGAGGTGGCCAACTGGAAAATTTAACATCATACTTGGTCAAGAATATTCATTCTGGGTCAGTTTCAGTTTAAACAACCATTAGGCATGCACTGTCATGCGACTTTTAGTTGCTGTCTTTTGGCTGCCCATTTGAGTGAACCATAGGAGGACAGCAGGGAGGTCGAAAATAGGATCGAAGAGAAAATTGGGAAGTTCTGTGGACTAATGATGCAGGAAAATTGAGAAGATGCACGAACGCCATTGTTTACGACACGCAGTCATATCACTCAGTGTGTCTAACCATCGATTATGATCATCCCGAGGTCCCCATCCAGGGAGCCTAACGGGACCTGTGTGACCTAGACTCCTGGTTAGAGTTTTCATACCCTCATGCCAGGTCTTAGCTTGAACAACCTTGGCTTTATTCCACCCGCTACCTTCCTCGGCGAACATTGCTCGTCGTGGCAACCTATCTGGTGACATGCGTAACGCATGCCCCAACCAATGTAATCTATGGAGATCGACCACTTGCTCCAGTGAGCGACCGCATTTACCTAAAACTCTGCGCCTAACCTCAGTATTGCTCGTCCGGCTGCTCCACCAGATTCGTGCGATGCTGCGTAGACAGCGGTGTTCGAACACCGACCGTCTGTCTTTACCCTGCTTCCCAATGGCCAAGTTTCTGTACCGTATAGCAGAACTGGTCGAACTGCCTAAGCATACACTCGATCCTTTGCAGATAGCCGGATGTGGCAATGGCACCACAGCTGTCTCAAGTTGGCAAATGCTAACCGAGCCTTCTGTATGCGAGCTGACACTTCATCGGTGTGTTGTCCACCCATCTTTGCGTCATTACCTGCTTGGGCAAACATCGCACGCTGACAAAACCTCTCTGATGACACGCAAAACACATTCTCCAGTCTTGGAAATCCATGGAGGTCGTGCAATCGCATAAGTACCTGATTGTGATTGCCTGATGCTCCTCGCCTAACTTTAGCATTGCTTGTTCGGTCATCTCAGTAGACTCGTGCAATGCGGTATGTACAGTAACACTTAAACCCATATCCCTCGTCCGTCATGCTCTATTGATGACTATAAAGCCAAACTTGAGACTTGTAGGCCAGAATAATTTCACTCACCTAGATGTGCATAACGGAAATTTGAGTACTTTTACGCAGGTGTGCTAATTCCTCTCAGCCCGACATGTGCCTTTGACGGTTTGATAAACTCGTTGTGGTTCCTAAGACTTCAATGTGTAATTGTAATCACCTTTAAAAATATATCCGTCCCTGTGCAGTTCAGTCTTGCAAAATGTTGCCCGTTTTCGTGATTGTCCATAGTTAATCGCCAAGTTTAGTCGGTTAATCGTATCGTGATTAAAAGACCAGCTTTCTGCTTCTCTCATTTTCACATGTATTTTGTTATTTTATCCTCATAGGTTTTAGTTGGTCTATCCGGTCTCAGCACGAACACTACGTTAAAGACGCACTTGGATTCCATTTGGTAAGTGTTGGCTCTAGTTCTACTCCCCCCCCCTTTGCTTGTCTTACCAAACCCTTTGTGGTTGTTCACATTTATCGTAAATCGTCACACCCTAACCAATATGCTCACTGACCCTCCTATTCAGCTTCAATGTCATCCCATTCAATACCACGGTTAACCGTGCGGCACCCTGTTTTTGTATCTTGCCAAGACGTATGACCGATCCGTGCGCCTATTGACTAGCCCCCAACAGTAATACGGAGAGAGAACACGGCCGAGAAAACGACAGTCAGAGTGTATCATTGATCATGACGCAATGCGCAAATAAAAGCGGTAAATTGGGCATACGAGAAACGACGTGGTTACGCACTAATCAAATCGCGTCACTGATAGTCCGGTTGATCGGTCGGACGATTCGCCTTAGGGCGTCTCAAAGCACATGTGGCCTGATGCGGATCGATAGCTTGACGACTTCTGTGCGCTCCGTCCTAACACCTGTGTTTTTGCAACTCCAAATTCCGCTGCCTAATTTGTCTCTTTCCCAGAGGAAACATCAAGTCCCCGTAGTCATGGGGTTTTCTCCTCCTGATGTGGAATAAAGCCAAGGGTGGTCAAGCTAAGACCTGACAAGAGGGTAACCAGGAGACTCGGCCACGTAGGTCCCCTCAGCCTCCTTGTCTAGAGACCTCGTGATGATCGTAGCCGGTGGTTAGAGACACTGAATGATATGGCTGAATGTTGTAAACAATGACGTTCGTTCATCTTCTCAATTTCTTCCCAACGTTAGTCCACTGAAATTCTCCATTTTCTCTTCGACTCTACTTTCAAACTTCCTGTTTTTCTCCCACTGTTCACCGAAATGTGCGGCTAAAAAGCAGCAACCAAAACCGGCGCAGGAAAGTGTATAGTTAATGGTTGTACCAACTGAAACTAAATTCAAAACAATGCTTTATCCATAAAGGCTGGTATATATATATATATATATATCATGTATTATCGTTTGAGAACGAGTCCTAGTCTGGATCGAAACGTCACAATAAATACTATCACTCTGTGCTCGCCTTCTCCTTTTCGAAAAAAATATATATCACAGATTACTAGAAACGATTCCATCACGAGACCGCAGAGTGCGGAACTTGGTCCTCAATCTATGTGTACTTATTTGCTTGTTCCTGTGGCACAAAGTACATACACCTCACGGTCAGGCGACTGTCCGAACGGATTCATGAACACCACTCTGCGTAGCTGAACACCGGAACGATTAAAGCACTCAACAATGCAGTGGTTTCTTACCTAGCTGAAACAAATCACACTGGACGTGGGCTTCCGAGCTTGTATAAAGTTCGTGGGCGATTGCTGAGGCAATTTCACTGTCGGATGCAGAAGCGGTGGGCATTTGTCTGCACAACCGCCCTCTCTGTACTCAAAAACAATTTGTGCAGGCGCCAAAGCTTCCCTGACCCACTCAACACAAACGGTATCACGAGTAATCTCGACGATCGGATGAGTGGACAAACAAATATGTGATCGCGGTGAACCCGATTTTCGGTCTTTTGATGAAATCGTTTTTAGTAATCTGTGATTTTATTTTATTTTCTCAAGACCATTTTATTCCCAAGTAGTGTTATATTCCGAACAGGCGGTGCTGGTCGAGGAGAGTTGTTTGTTGTAGACTACAGATGGAGGGTCACTAATTTTGGATGCATAACACGAAAAGCTCATCAGAAACATGCCTTTGCAGCACATCGTGACGCATGTGGCAATGGGTAGAGCAGGCAGTGTTTATTCTTCCCAAATATATTACTTGGTCCTGGATGGTCTTGTTCTATTTTTAATCATTGAAAGTTGCCGACTACTCACAAGTGAGTAGTATCTCACAACAGTAGTGGTATGTATTGAGATGTATCGGTATGAATACGAATCTCTGAAAACGAGCTTGTTCGCCACTTTGTTGTTTTGTTTGAACTGTACTCTGGGAGACTTTTTCTACAATATATATAGATATATATATTTGATAACAAGTAGTATGTGAATGACTGGACAAAATTTCCCTAAAAGCACACGACCAGGTTTGTGATTCTTGCCGCTCGTCGGCATGCGTATCCGGTAATTGTTTGCCAGTTCATTTATATGCTTGTATCCAGGAAGTGTATTTTCTTCTGGATGACCGTGTTTGCAACACCGGGTGACCAGTCATTCACATACTACTTATTATCAAATTACATCAAGTAATGTGCGAATGACTCAAAAATGCCTGCAAAAACATGAACGGCTTCACAGTTCTTGCCGCTCATCAAGCGTGCCTATCCGGTAATCTTTTGTCAGTTCATTTATGTACTTGCACCGAAGGATCGTATTTCCGTGACATATAGCTCGTCCTTAATACCGGCCAAATCTATCGATAGCCTTTACAAAATAATGAATCTTCGTATTGGTTCATCAGTCTACTGGTTCTGAAAGGGCTGTCCAAAGAAATTTACTGGGTGACGCGTATGGGATATTGGTGCCAAATATGTAGTAGAATGTGTTCATAGGTTGTGCCATGTTATTTCCCCATTGCCCTGACCGAAGAAAGAGGTTAAACTCTTGGTCCCCACACGAGGCTTTTAGCTAGAAAGTTATAACTGCAAGACCGAAGGACGGAGCTCAGAGTCCGCACTTCGTTGGTGGCCAGTGTTTAGTTCGTTTGATCATACCAGAAAGTTGTGGGTATGTGAGTCATTTACCTCCTGGTTGGTTTGAAATCACGAGTCTTAACCGTCTCCCCTGAGTAAACTGCCAGTGGTTCACCCAACCGGATGTTTGCTTTTCGTCCTCTCTGCTGAAAACACTGCCATGGGGAGGCAACGAGTAGGGTTTTCGCAGCAGAGGCTGTTTGAGACGCTTGATCATATCTAAGCATTTGATGAGATGTAAAGTAAGGTAACCAGTCGCAACCCGAGGCACCCACGCCCATAATACTGAGGCTTTCGGAGGCATACATGTATATAGGGAAAACGGTTGGTAGGTATGTAGTTAGATAGACTGATAGCTGGAATCATCATATCTATGCCCCCAAATAAATATTTTTTCCACGCTGTTGCTACATTTGTTGGACTGGCATCGTAGTTCAGACAACACAAACCTAATCACTATTCCTAACAGGCCCACTTCTGATCTCTATCACATACATTACTTGACCTGCGCACACCCCCTGTGACATTTCAGTGACACGATTAATCGGGCATTTTTAACTGCTGAACGCAGTTCAAATTCGAATTTTTGTCATTGGAAAATCTTACAAAGACTTCGCTTATCAAATCCCATAGGGTGTTTACACTTTGGTTCGGAACACGATTTACAAGATCATAATCTGTCCGTGTAAGTAAAATAGTAATGTAATGTTTTTGACGAGCACAGGAGAATATATTACGTAGTTGGGCACTGAAACGTAATGTTTGCCAGATTATCATCAAACTGATGCTTGAAAGATACTAATGTTAGGGCACAGACCACATGAGGTGGTAGAGAGTTCCATTTACTGCA